AAGCAGCCTTGTTTAGGACTGCAACAATTATTTTCTTTTTCAAATAATCAAATTCATTTCTTGTGAAACCGACTTGCTTATTAAATAGTGGTTATTTGCTTGTCACAGTTTCCTAAAGCCAACAAGTCAAACATTGTTCTAAAGAAGTTATCACAATAGTTGCTGATTAATCTTTTGTCATCCACTTGAAAAAAAAAAAAAAAAAGGTTTTTACCATAAAAAGGAAACCAGCCAAGAACTACAGTCACATGGTACAAGTACCTCTAAATGGTCAAACCAGTGATCTTCTGTCAGGTTTAGGACGTGATGGTTTACAACGTCATTCTCAGTTCCATTAAATGTACTCATTCCTGCTGAGAGGTGAGAGTGCAAGTCTAGCTTCCTACAAGGAGGAAGTGTGTCTTTTCATTTTGAGCATTGTCCTGTTTGAACAGTGGCCTCTGTGGGCCACATGTTAACAGTATTGACACACACACACACACACACACACACACACACACACACACACACACACGAAGCTTTGACAGAAAGATCCGACTGCAGTGTCACATTATTAATTGACGTACTGCCAGCAAAGTGTACTCAATCGAACGTTACTGCCCATGGGGGGGAAACTGGTTGACATATCGAGGTTGCTGCTGTGACTCTCTTAAGCAGAAAGACAGGATTTTGTTATCATGGAAGGGAAATGCTTCTACAAATGATGCCTCTGATTATGAAATTTTGTGACAAATACAGTCTGGGCAAAACTGTGGGTTCTTTTTTTATTTTTTATTTTTTATTTTTTTACTGTGTGAAGGTGATGTGATCCGTTTTGATTTTGTGGCATGTGAAGGACCACCAAATGTATAGGAATGCTTGTGGTGTCACAGTTTTCGTGAATAAGTGGTGGAAATAGAGTCAATACAATAGAGATGTACTTGATACCTTTATGGTATCGACTGAAACAGCCCAGTCTCAGTAGAATTGAAACGTCTCCAGTCAAACCAGTACTTCAATTGATACTTTTTAAAACCACATCATGGCAATAAATGACTATTTGTATGGTTTTGCTTGCAGCCAAACCCGCAAGAAACACACGAAAGAAAGAGAAGAGCATGCCTTTTTCCCCCTTACGTGCCTGCACCATGAACTGTATAAAAAAAGGCTGCAGCGGCGAGTCCATGCTGACTTTAACAGCCGCTCATCTTCATCTGCGCTCTCAGGCGTGTTCGTCACTGTTTATCAAGTTTATCACCACAAGCTTGGCTTTCCGTTGGTTTCATCTTCTGGTATCATTTAACACTTCTCTGCACAGTTTTATTTGCTATTCACATCACTTGTCACTGATCGATTGCTGCGTTCCGTCACATCAATTAAACGCGTTTGTGGCGCAGCAGCGATCAGCTGATTTTACTCACAGAGCCTGCAGCTGCGGCTGCTTCAGGTGTAATTGGTTACATCTAGTTACATGTAGTTGGTTGTGTCTTTAGTGTAGTTAAGTGACTTGTTTAAACAGACTGCTTTCTTGTTTTTTATTTGTGACTGTCGTTTTTGGAGGTTTGCGACTCACCAATAAAGAAAAAAAAAAAGCACTCGCGGAGATTCAGTTTACTGATCGAAAGTTAACAAAATAATTTCCGTTGTTTACTTAAAACACGTATCGAAAATTTACCTTAACTTATTTGGTCACTAAATTATTTCACTCCTCCTCTCTCATTCAAATATACAAAATTTCCAAGCTGTAGTCATTCCCATATAATAGCCCACTACTCGTGCGGATGAACTACTAAGGATGAGGAGCAATCTGATACAATTTCCAAATATATTTATGTTATTTGAAACAAGAAAAAAATAAAAGATAATCTTGCTTGTCCATAACAACAATAAAAATAATAATAGGCTCCCAATCAACTACTATGGCTTCAACAGGTGGCATTTTATGCAAGGTATAAAATGAAGTACCCTATTGGTATCGGTATCACTTTAAGGGTACTGGTTTTGGTTCTGGTATCTTAAGATTTTAAACAATACCCAACCCTACCTGAAAAACACATACTGTAGCTGTAAACAGCAAGCTGTATCATGTCGGGCTCCTCTGAACTTACAGCCTGACTATCGCTCATATATAGACAATGAGCCTAAGCCCGTGATTCAGCTGGGAGCCAGTGTAGGAGAGCAGCCGACTGAAAACAGTGAGATAGGACCGTAAAGGTAATGATGACTAATACCTGAGCACAATGCTGAGGACAGAGATGGTAATCCACAAGCTGGGAGCTGACTGTGACCCTATGATATGCATTATGAGTCTCTTGGAAAAGGCAATAAAATACATATAAAGGGAAGTAATGCAATTGAGATATGTGAATATCACATAAAAAACATTAAACTCACAACTGGAGAGGCTGCCGAGGGAATTGTGTTTTGCACTGCTTGTTTGTGAATGCGGAGAGAGTGACGGAAGAGACAAGAAATGCCACTTTGAATGCAAAGCCTTATATGAGGTGGTTAAAGCTGGCTGACAATAGTTACCTGCAGCAGACAAAAATGCACAAATATTGAGATACAATCACACAAGCAAACGCATTGACCTTTCCACACAGAGATAATCAAAAATCTACAGACAAATCCAACGTGATTAGGGTTGGGTATCGAGAACTGGCTGCAGGTTTGAACTGTTACCAAATTTCTAAGAACCGTGGATTCGATCAGACCTGTGCATTTGATTCTGCTTCTTGGTTCCTAACTTCCTGCACTCCTGACTGACCTGCAGTGAGCATTTTACAGTCCATAAAAGTGTCTCTTATCTGCCAGGAGCTGCTACGCCGACCTAACGTCACCTCATTTGTTATGCAGTACATCAACAAAGCATGAAGAAGAGAGTCCTTCTGTTTCCATTCCTGGACCATGGCGGACCGCAGCACACGCTCTAAAGTTTGGCTTAGCTTCACTAAAAAACAGAGAATGACACAGCAAATGCAATAGGAGGTTTGGTGCGAGGGAGGAAGTAGACATGATCTGTGGTGAAGGAACCAGAACCGAGATTTGATAAGTAGAATCAGACTCAATAAAAAAGAAACGATACCCAACCCTAATAGACAAACCCAACATGAGGGTGAGACACTGAAGTGAAAAGCAGTAAAACGCCTCACATATTCATTCTGCAGTGGAAACAAGAGGAAATCTCATATTTGACATCTGTACTTCCCACTGTGCAGACTATAGGCTGCTGGTGGTTCACTGTTTTCTGCCACTCAGCAGGCTGCAGCCATGGTTTCATTCATGATACTCCTAGTAATTAGCTGTCTTGCTTTATACACTGAACAAAATTATAAAGGCAACACTTTTGTTTTTGCCCCCATTCATCATGAGCTGAACTGAAAGATCTAAGACTTTCTCTGTGTGCACAAAAGTCCTATTTCTCTCAAATAGTGTTCACAAATCTGTGTTAGTGAGCACTTCTCCTTTGCCGATATAATCCAACCACCTCACAGGTGTGGCATATCAAGATGCTGATCAGACAGCATGGGGATTGCACCTTAGGCTGGCCACAATAAAAGGCCACTCGAAAATGTATGTTCAGTGTATGAATGTTGTATATTCACCAGGGAGTGCATATGAACTGCAACCAGGGTTGTATTGAAAAGAGCCTGTCAGCGGATTTGTTACTGATCAGCACCAGAATAAGATGACACGAGCTGATGGACTATCTGGCAACATAGGAGTCTCTTAATCAGTCCTTAATCAGAACTGAAATGTTTCTGGATCCTACACTGAGCACAGAAGGACAGAAGAATTAAAGAGAAATCAACAGCTGACTGAAAGCAGACTGATTACTTTGTCTGGGAAGTGTGAAAAATGTCAAACAGAACAAGGGAAGCTCAAATCCACGTTTACGAAGATATTCTGGCAGAGACAGCTTATACACAAAACACCTACACTCACAGGCTCACTTATTCATGTTTGGGAGGCAGCAGATTTTAGGCAGTCATTATTAGACCAGTTCTACACCTAGAGGAGAAGAAAGTAGCAGCAGTAGTTTAGATCTGCAGATGAAGACATAATGACGTTGCGACCTACAAGCAGAAAAAGTAATAGCTGGTGCAATTTTAACATTAGCACCACAGCAGGAAATGAGCATTACAACAGAAGTTCTTCTCTTTTTAAAAGCTTCTTTTTGTGTGTTTCTGATGATTAAATTAGGAGAAAAACTGTTGTCCAATTCCGGGCTACATAGAGAAAAAACACCATCCATAATAACTTGAATAGTTAAATAAAAATGAAGATATTAATGTTACAATAACCTCCTGTAAATAACATGTCCAACTTTATTTTTTCTAAACACCCTGGCCTTAACCTTTTGCCGTATTTGACCATCAGACAATTGATCAACATTAAGTTTTAACTGACTGAAGCAATAGACGAGATATGGCAATTGACATTTTTCATGCCTTTTATTGTGGCCAGCCTAAGGCACACACAGCTCATGATGAATGGGGCAAAAACAAAAAAGTGTTGTTATAATTTTGTTCAGTGTATTTTAGGGCTGCAACTTTTCTTTTCATTATCGATTACACTGTTTTATGATGACTGAACACTTCAGAGGATGTAGTTTGTGCTGCTGTTGAAATGTATCGTGTGAGGTGTTTCACAGGTCACTACAACATGATACAACAGACTACATCCCCAACCGCTGTTAAGTTCCTTTCCTGTATGGCGGACATCAGCAGGTCTACATCTGCAATTCCAAATGCTGCTGTTACTGCCCCTGCCTGTAAGTGGTGCAGGTCTGACTAGAAGTGCAGGTCTGGGACTGGCTGTGTCCGGATATGGGTGCTCTGAATGACTGACACTGTGTCTTTCTTGATAATCATATCTCTGCAATGCACCGTCAGTCCTCATTTGTTAGCGCTGCCTCAACTGTATATACTAGGAGTCTCTCTGGCAGCAACAGTGACTTTGCAGCTTCAGCTACGCACCATTGTAGGAAAGCGAGAGAATGAATTGTAAGTCAGAAATACCTTGACGTCTCGGTGGATGACATTGTTGTCATGGCAATAGCGTAGCGCCTCGAGGATCTGTCTCATGTAGTGGCTGAGGAAAAGACATTGTCGTGATTTATCTCAGTTAAGTGTTTACATGTAAGTAATGACTGAAAATACCAATACAGAGCATAAAATAAAAACAGGACGAGAGAGCATCTTCAGGGATGAAAAAAAAAAACAGGCATAAAACTCACCTGGCCACTGCTTCACTGTAGACAAAGCCAGCATCTGCCCTCTTCACGATCTCAAAACACAGGTCTGCTCCATCCATACTGATAAAGATAGAGATTGAAGGGGAGAGACACACACACAGAGAAAGAGAGGTTTGGTGTGGTGTAAAGGGCAGGGCGGGAAAGGTCACACTTATTAAAACTTCTCTGTGATTAGCTTTGCAGGTGAAATGGGGGAGACAGGTCAGTAGAGGAGAAGCTGCAATCATGTTGGTCTCTGTCGGCTGAAGCTCTATCACCACAGCTGCCAAAACTAAAGCTGGTACGAGAGAGCCAGTCTGAGGTCAATCGCTCAAGAACGCCAGGATTTTTAAGGATGACCAATAGATACTCAACTAGAGGGAGCTTCTTTTGTAGCAGGTACATTTGAAAGTAGCACAAGGAAAGAAGGTGGTTAGGTGCTACTCTCTAAGCCAAAATCTGTGTGTTGTCTGATACTGAATGAGATCTTTTGCACTGTTAGATCACGCGGCTCTTAAATGCATTTAGAATTTAATTTTATGGACAGAAAATAGTGGCAAAAAAAGTGTAGCTGCGTCTGTGTACACATCGCTTCTTGAACGAATCACAATGATTTTATAAATTACCCAATAAAAGCAGCTAATCCTTTGATAAACTCAGTGAGCGTATGTGCCAAAGCAACTTCAAGTTTTAAAACTGTGGGTAAACATGTACTTCTCACAGAGAGATGAGAGTGTTTGCACAGAGTAGTGCAGCTCCACAATATTAACAGAGCCTTCAGGAGGAGAAGCTGTTGCTTTAATGGTGAAGTTTAATGCTGCCACATTTACAAAATCCTTCCGGAGTCATTTACAGTAAAGATGTTGCTCTGGTGACGGCTTCTCAGCCCAGTTAAAACCGGGCTCGAGCCAGAGGTGACAGCTTGTCTCAATACTCAGCTTGCAATCAATAACCTGACTTTAAAACTGCGGCCATTAGGCCCTCACACACTGCCTCAGTTCTGTTCAGCTGGCTGTTTACTTACACAACACACACATCTAGTGGACTGAATGACAATCCTCAGATACACGCACTCACTTAATTATGACCCAGTCACACAGCAGATTCTGTCTCTGGTTATTGCTCTGTTGCCATTCTTCCCCCAATTACTGCAACCTGCTCTTTACTGTCTCTAAGCCTCTGCACCAATTAAACAGGGCTGTTACGTAGGACTTGGCTGCAGACTCTATCACCTCAATCAGCTCACATTTTAGCCTGCTTGATTAGCGACCTGGGAAATGGGGAGACACATGAAGCTGTCCGCATTCATCTGCCATGTTTACTCAGCTCTCGACGGGCCGCACCACTACAAAGAAAAGGTCTCCGATCTGCGTGCATTAGTGTGTGTGTGTGTGAAACAGAAGCTTGTGCACAAATGGGCTTCAAAAACTGTGAAAAATCCCTTTAAACAGAGCTCACTTGCATTTCCTTGAAAGTTTTCTCCTGTGCACCAAGCCGTGTGATAAAACTATGAGCCGAGCCCGAGCACTTTCCTGTTCAGCGATAACAGAATTAAATGATAAAGGAATTAGTTCTGGAAGAGGAGGAAAGATGAAGATACCGAGCAGGCTGGGAGGAGCTCAGCGAAGGCGTAGCTTTGAGAAAGGCTGGTGGTGGCAGCAAGTGTGAAATCTTAATCTCATCTCTTTTCCCTCATATATATATGCTGCTCTCCCCGCTTTCTTTTTTTCTTACCCCCACCCTCAGCTAACCAGCTCTCATATCGGTTGATTATATAAAACCGCCACAGGGTTTGCTTTCTCTCTGTCCTGCTACTGCTACAACCGCCTTCCTAATGCAGTCATCCGTTTCTCTCTCTCCTTCCTTATCGCCCGACTGTGCGTCCTCCTTCCACCTTATCTTCAAAGGTGTAACCTTTTTTAACTTTCACCCCCAGGTGCGTTTTATGTGCGGCTTTTTATGCGTGTTCAATCATGCCGAGTGCACTCTTTGACAAGCGGAGACTTACAACTCGAAAACCATGTAGAGCATCCCATCTGAGCTGTACGTCTCCAGAAGCTCCACAATGTGGGGGTGCTTTAGCATGTGGCAGATGCTGGCCTCCCTCTTCAGATCTGAGAACACAGAGAGAAAGAAAGGAAGGTGAGCATATATACAGTATATTTTATTTTTTCACCGCCATGGGAGAGATCTAATACCATGTTACACTAGAACCAGAATCATAAGTCCATCCATAGAGTGTGAATGCTGAACTAACAAAGTTTGGGACAGCAAACGTCTCGACCAATCAGAGTCTTGAGTGAAATTTTATTTTTTTATATATTTATCCCCCCCCACCCTTGCTTTAATTAATGAACTGTATAAAATGAATTGTTCTTTTGTAATTTATTTGTAGCTTTGGCAATATTGTTGTTTTCCATCCATGCCAATAAAGCTAGATTGACAATAGATTACATAAAATGGGACACCCTAAATATTACCAGCAGAATTACCAACTGTTGCTACCTGAATAGTGCAGCAACAAAGAAGACAACCTAACGAGAACACGGCTAATTGTCTTGCTCTCAGCATTTTTTTTTTTTTATACATTTAGAAATGTAAGCAGGATCTCTTTCCCCCCCTCGACTTCATCCCTTATGAGCTTTTTGCCACAGTCTGACCAGACCTGTCAGATTTGGCCTTTTTATTGCCCTTACCCTCATTACACTGACATAAAACTGGCATGCCCTTCCTTATTTTGCAGAAGTTCTCTCTGACACCACGGACAACGTGCAGCATGTTGAAAGAAACCTTTATACCACACTACTATGGGGTTTTTTTTGTCACGAGTCTACGCACTTGAACCCTGAAGCTTCTACACCTCGGCTATATTTTGACAACCTTAGGGCTCTCTGCAGCTAAGCTCTTACTGTTAGCGGAGAGGAAAATGGAAAACGCATAGTGCAGCATAAGGGTTGCACTCCTGAAAAACCGTGATGATGACTCATCTGCAGGACTGTCGTGTATGCAAAAAGCTCTCTGCATCTGTTTTGGTTCAAGTGATGTTTGTTTTCATTCACCCCTTTATTTTAGATCCTCTTACTGCTGCCTGGCAATAAGCATCTACCCCTTTAATTGGCTGTTAAAGAAGACGAGGGTTAATGGAGGGGAGTGTCTGAAGCTGAAAAGAACAATGCGCTGGGGAGAGATGAAAACACACACCACCAAACAAGCCCCCCCCCCCTCTTGTGAGACAAACAGCAGTGAGAAACTACATTTCTTTTAGTTTTTAAAGGATACAAACAGAGGAGAAGATAACTGGATATTCATTTGATGAAACCAGAGTGTTGACAAGACAGATGCGCATGGGGACCAGAAAAAAAACAGCAGAGACAAATCAATACTTTGTCACTGTCGCTCTGATGCAAATGGCAAAACATTCTGTCGTGTAAAACGGGTTGAATGGAGCAAGGATGGAAGGAAGTTGGTGCATCTACTAAACTGCAGAACACCACTGGATTACAAAGCTTTTACATGAAATATTTGCTCACATAGTGGCTACTGAAAAGTGAGCACTGAAATTAATCATTATGGCATCCAAACTGCATCCCATAGACTTTTCGCTTGCGACATCCATTCTAATCTTCTGTTCTGCATCCTTTTTCTTCTTCTCCTTCTGCTGTTAATTATAATGTGCCTCTCTCCAGCTGATTACTGTATATCAGACAGCTTTATTTAACATTTTTATTCTGAACTTGCAACAAGGCACAAGATGTGACCGTATTTGAATTAGAGGGTGACGCTAGCAAGCTCGGTTAGCTAGCTGCATCTGTAATTCACTTTAAGTGTGATATTAACCGGGATTCTAAGTTTGGTTAGAATTAAGTTTGGCTGATGAAGTAGTCCCTGGCAGGTTGTGGCCCAGAATTCTGGGAAATCAGACTTTAAGTACTTCCCAGCTGTATATCACATTAATTCCTGACCATAAAAAACATTAATTCATTTAAGAAGACCACACTAGCTAGTGTGCATGTCTGCCTCACTAACCCAGCAACAGGTGGATGTGGTTAACAGAACACAAATCTGACAGGTTATACAAGCAAACAACAGCCAAGACAGTAAAGACTGGATTTGATAAACAATAGGGGTTGCTTTCAATATGAACATCTGAACACAGCCTATCCCGTCAATCTCACTTTCATCCTTCCATTCAATCTCTCAATCCTTTGATCCATTCATTCATGCTTTGCCTCCTGGCAGCTGTTGTTCTGAGACGTGTGGAAGGTTGAAGCCGACCAAGGAAATATAGAGCATATACATAACCTTTCTGCTTGAGCATAACCTCAATTTCATTTGCTGTAAATGCATCACAGAGTGCACTTAACTGTATTAACTTTTTATATCCATCTCTCCTACTGAAATAGCAAGGTTTTGCCAAAATATACATGCTCAGTACACAGTACATGGAACTTAAATGATTTATGGACAGGAACACTGAATGGATAAAAAGTAGATGTTTCTTCAAAGACCCGATACCTTCACACACACACACACACACACACACACATATGTATACATACTATGAACTATAATGAAAAATCCTTGTATTGTTCTTCTAGGTGCACAATGACATTTAATTAAGCCCAGAGATGAAACCACGAACCACTTGTGTTGCTGCGAGCCTCTGCGCTAACATTAAGTTAATCCTTCGAGGACAAGCACAAGGCTTGGGCTAGCTCTAACACCATGCTAATGCTTCTAAAGCCAGATAAGTGGCTACCTTAAGGGCATTGCAGCCTGCCACGTTTGATGTCATCTGGTGAGCTTGCTGCTTATGTCCGTCACTGTAACTGCTGCTGGAGATTACACATGATACTTTATTAGATGCTATTGCCCAACCTATTTTATTGAGCTCAGAAAAACTTCAGCAGAAAAGCCACTCTCATTGCATTTAAGTTAGCTGTGTGTGGTTGTGTGTGTGAACACTCAAATCAAATAGGACGCAATTGATCCTGTGCCAAAAGTGGATGCAGCAGAGAATTAATAAGCAAAAAAAACGACTATGAGGAAGAGACAGATAGGTCTGCAGGATGTGCTGTCCGAACGTGGATATGCACAACACTGCACACACATACAAAAAAGTTACAGAATATAATGAGAGGTGTAAGGTGCATGATACTCAAAGTTCATCATCAACAATAAAATTCTCTGAAAAACCAAGTAATCCAAGCTCAGTGTGCATTTGCTTTAACAAGAATATGAGCTTTATTTAAAATTCAACTAGCGTTTCTATTCTACTAATTGACTGTCGATAATATGAACTAATAAATGCAAAATGGAAAACCAAACTTAACCTTCAACTCCCTGAGGGCCAGACATAGACCTATCAATTTAATTTAACATTAATAACAAATAATTATTGTGAAGCAGGCACTGACATCTTCTCTGCAATGCATTAACGTCAAGCAGAGATGTTTTATAGAGGAGGCACACCACTCAATCACATCCTCAATACAACTCTATGGGGAAAGCCTGTAATGGAAAAGATGGCGGTTATCCCGCCCCTCCTGCTAGAAAGCCAATCGTCTGTTTTTAACAGCCAATGCGGGAAACATTTCAGCCAATCATGTGATTCCACTAACGTAAGGGTCTGTCTTACTTTGACTGTGCATGCGTGGTAGTTTTGCAATTTTTTTTATTGAAGTTTTGCTAAAGTTCACTATTCAAGGCCAGTCTATTTTTTTACGGAAGCCACATCAAGCAGCACAGAGCAGGTGAACCGGGGCAGGAAGTCAGACACAGAACAGCCTAGAGAATCTAAATAAAACACCCTTTGCTGACTCCCAATCATATATCAACAATAAACACAGTTAAAACAGACGGAAAAAAACAATTTAACTACCGTAAAACTTTGAATAATAGCCCGAGCTTTTATTTGCTAAAATCACTGAATTGACCCTGGCTATATTTGAGACAGGCCTTTAATTCCTTTTGCACAAAACTGAAACTACTATGAAACAGTTTATTGATTTCAAACAGAATAATACTTGTATAAAAATGATCAAATAATAGAAAATACAGGTCATTCATTTGATCTAGCTCCGACAGATGGCTTATGCGCTTTTATTGTTAAGTAACATCACGACAACAACATGGTACTGGATGAGAGAAGTTAGCAGACAGAAATCGGACTTCACACAAGCTGTTTTGATTCTTTTGATCGGTGGACCCTTACAGAATAGGCCAGAACAGGAATATAAGTAATCAAGGAAGGACTCATTTGGGCTTAATGAGCCTTAAATGTAACAGCAGACTTCCTTTCCTCTCTTGTACCAGGCATGTTACACCGGTGAATCTATAAGAACTAGACTTTGGGGCTCGTTGTTTGCCTTAAATGAACTTGACGCCGAACAAAACCGCGTCACAGCCGCTGCCTGTGTCGGCTCGTCTGGCGCCATTATCCCACATTTTCCTCTAGTTTCATATGTTGTTGTAAAATGTTCACGCCCTGTGCCAGCTCTGATTGGTGAGTAGCACCGTAACAGGAGGCGCATGGCGCTTGTAATTGGCGAGCAGATCTGTCACACAAGGATGATAACGGAATTAATTTGTTACTGCATGTTTAGAACGGGTTAGATGCGTATAATTAACTGTATAATTAACCTACATTTTAATCGCTATCTTCGCAATTAGCTAATCGTGTTCTTCCAAAACGCTATTTCGATTGGAAAACGATTAATCGTTCAGCCCTAGTTGAGATTTAAATTATTGAGATGATATGAATGAAACATCTCTAAGTAGTGACAGACTGACTATAAGGGGCGATATCTGGCATTTTTAAAGAATCGGCTGATACCTGCACTCACAAGGTCAATAAACAGAAGGTGTCTGCGGACACGTCTGCAGGTAGCCTCGTCAGTGAGCACTCATCAATCAAATCATCATATACTCATTGTTCTGAGGATCTTTTGTTTTTTTGTGGAAGCAACAATAGACAATAAATCAACAGCTGGCTGGGAAAGCATGGAATCTATCAGTATGCATGCTGCAGGCAGATTCCTGTTTCCCATTGCTACTGTTTACATGTTGTATTTTTATTTGCTCCCTCATGCTTTACAGACAGCTGTGTGTGTCT